ATTCCTCAAAGAGAACTTATCTGGAGAAGTTGTCCTTGAAGTCGACTGGAGGCTTCTTCTTCTCCTTGGTCGGCGATGGAGCTTCTTCTCGTCCTCGGTTGGTGGTGGAGTTCTTCTTGTCCTTGATCCTGATCGCCAGTTGTTGTGGAACGCGTTGAGCCGTTGTCGATTTATTAGAAAAACACAAGAGTTCCCCCTCTGCCTATCGGCGTACATGCCGAGGGTTCACTAGGAATAACTAGAGAACAACACACACAAATATATCAAGGTGCGGCGGGTACGCCGCAACCACAGAGACCATATCAACCTAGCCTATAGTGAGTGAGCAAGTTCCAATATAAGGGACGGCTCTACAACAAACCCAATATTTTCAAAGATTTGTAGTTTGCTCCACTTTTTTAACAACATCCTCCAGCATTGCTTTTGCTAAAGCATGCCAATTTTTTCTCCGTTATTTTTCATCACTAAAATTCCTATTTTTTTCTTCCAAACCACTTGTGGTGTATCATTCTTTTTGCGAGTGTAGTGCAAACACCTTCCTGTAAGCTTCTTTGCTAATGATGTTTTTACTTCTATAATTTCTCTGCCGTAGCAGGATAGAAATGCGCATTAGTCATGCATTGAGCCGATATGAATTCTTCTGAGACAGTGTATAAGGGTGCCTTCATACCACGTATTAGCTGCAGCTAACAGCCGTTAGCCGTTTTTGTTAACATGAGAGCGCGAGGACATCAGATCTTAGGCTAAATGTATCCGCCTACGTTTCTCATCTTATGCTTTTTATTTTGATTCCGCTAATGTACAGTTCGACGAAAGGCGAAATCGAAAAATTAATTATCGGTTAACCATCGCTACCGCCTAGCGACAATTTAGGAGCCTAGACACATCAGAGGAAAGAGAATGCAGAGCACACTTATAAATAACCAGTGCGTCACCTCTGCTTCGCAGAGGCTCGCACTGGTTCTACTCTATATGCCTTACTTTTTCTCGCCTACTAATGGCTTTGAAACTCACCGCGCAATGCTGACTATCGCGAATAAAATGTAAACAACTATCCATTCTAAAAGCTTTTTTATGTAAGATCGGTGATTTCGCGTGGATGTAACTTTTCGCAAAAGAACAAATGCAAGTTTGGATAGGTTTTGAAACTTTTTTGGCTTGGTAGTCGCCATGAAGACAATAGTTACCGTGAGCTACATCTCTATGCAAAAATCTTCTCAAATGCTCAGGTAAATCCACGGCGGATTGAACATTTACGCGAACACTTCTTTTTGGCGTCGTTTTCGTAAAGTAGCAAACCTTCGGTCACTTTTTGGCCTAAAGGCCATGACTTACACATCAACCTGCTAAACCATCTACGGCTTTGCAAAAAGCGTTGATACGGACCAATTTTGCGGGCCAGAAGCCAAGTGTATCCGTTTGACGCGCAAATTCTGAGGGACCCACCCAGCGAATCCGTTCGTGCTTTTGCATGGTGGAATTCTACGTTGGTAGCATGCGCTATGCAAAATTTGAGCTCTGGATGTTGGCTGGAACCCGCTGTATGAATTTCGTTACAGACACACACACACACACACACACACACACACACACACACACACAAAGTCACGTAAACACCCTTAGCCCGTTATTATAAGTTATGATGGACGTACAGTCGGAGAAAATCACATTTAACAAACTTCATTTACTTGCGAACTAGTTCTAAACAAGACAGCAATAGAGCAGTTGGGCAACGGTAGTACATAATCCATGACACAGGATAATGACAACAATGGATACAATGATGATGTATGAAAGTCGAACTGCACACTAGTGGAATCAGGAAGCAAAAATCATGGTAGGTGAGAAGCGAAGGGATTGCATTGCATTTAGCGTAATAAAAACCTGATGATTTCGCGCTCTTATTATATGATAAGAAAAAACGGCTAATGGCTGAGTTGCCTGCTGAGGACGGCTGGCATTGAGGCATCCAAAACTGTATTTTAAGTCTTTTTGATGAGGCCTTTACGTTTTTCGGTAAGACACATCGTCATTAGAGTCTTTATTCATTCTCTATTAAATGCGGGAAGAAATGAACGTTGTCGTTTGTATGCTATTCACCCTTGCTCTCGACTTCTTTGACCAGAAGGGTGTCTTCGAAAGACATAGTGTTTGTGGCCTCCTCAAATGCTCATCGCATATGAAAAAAATTAACCTGAACAGTAGATATAAGATAAGCGTTGAATAATAAATGGAGTCAATGTGCTTGAGAGGAAGTTTGAAAATTTAGTCTCGACGGTTTTGGATTTCTGACATTTTCGGCTTTAAGCCCACTTTTAGCACGGTACCTTCAGACCAGATACAAGGATAAATCAAAAGTTTGAAGCTAGTTTCTTGCTTCAAATGGCAGCTTGCCGGACTTCCATTTTGCATGCAACCATTCTCTTTCTCAAACCTATATTTTTGACACAGATTCGCAAGACAGCATGTGGACGTCCAGAAAACTAATTAATTCATAGTCAAAACTATGAATTCAATTCATTTCAGTTTCAATTTGATTACTCTAATTTCACGCGTATAAGAGCTCAGCCGCTTCACTGTATTCCGGAGAGATCCTTACATCGCACGATTCTCCTAAGGAATATACAGCACGTTATAGGGTCCTTTAGTTGTAATGTCCTTTGGCGTGTCTGGGCTGGTCGATTTTGGAAGAAAATCCCCCGCGCCTAATACGCGTGAAATTAGGGTAGTTAAAATTGAAATGAAACTTTATGAGAGCGTGAGAAGAACAGTGCGAAGTACAGCCATTGCTCAACGCATTGTGTATTTTTTCGACATGCTCATAGAGCCTATAGGCAAAAGAAGTAAAGCAGTTAGTGCCTCGACGGTCTTGGAAAAATTTTGCCTTCAGTGCTTTTCTATATTGCGATCCTTTTTGGTTGTGAAGTAGTCATTATTTTTATCGCTGCAAGTGTAAAGAGAATGCGGAAGTCGAGAGCTTGTACCCTGCTGTATAGGTGGCATTATCGCTAAACGTTGGTAGTAAATCAGTTAGGTTTTTGAAATACCGCATTAATGTCTAACTGTCATTTGCATCATTTCTCCATGTTGCTTGTAAACTCATGGCATATGACATTTGGCATGAGTTTTGATTTTTTTATCCTCGCATTCTTCCAGTCATTCGCGGTTGCTTTTGTGATTTTTCTCTGCTCCACTGGGTCCAACGCTTGCTATTCAATTATTTTGAGCCCTCTCATATCTGCTTTGACTCTGTCTAGCAATCGCATTTTAGGTCTCCCTCTTGGTCGCTTTCCTGGTACGCTTTCTGTCATGACCAATCTAGCTACATGGTCTTCATCTCGCCGGCTTCTTTGTCCATATCATCGGAGCATCTTGCATCTTTTTGGCTAATCTTCATCATGCTTCGTAATGTGTCATTTGTAATGTGGTAAGGCATGGTAGTTTCTATGGTTCATCGCAGCAGCAGTGTCTCCTTTACGCACAATCCTCCTCTCTTCTTTTCGAAAACGCCAGCCTTTTTCTCCATAGGGCACCATCGGTCGAACCACTATGCAATATATTAACGACTTGAGGTCTCGTGGCATCCGTCTATCACATATGAATTCCGCCATGCTTCTCCACTTCATTCAGGCGGCATTTTAGTTTCTATGTTTACACGGCAAAATTCTGTGATTGTGTGCGGCAATGAATGCCCCTTGTTTTGAACCAGACGCGTACGCTGCATTCGCCTCATATCTTTATGCACGTGTGCGCACGCTGCGTACGTCGCGTATGCCGCGTACGCACACGCAGTCTGGCCCAACCCTTATAGACTCCTTTCTGCAAAGTAGTGAACCGAATGAGCTGGAAGTCTGCGCACATGTGCTTTCAATCTGAACCGCTTCAGGCCCCTTTTTAGCGGATTCGCGGGGTTCCATCCAATCATCAAGTTGGCACCACCTTGAAAGGGAAACAAATTCTTGAGATGGTAACGTCCTTTCACCCCATTGTAGCGGGCACGCAACCTCAGACGCCTTCACGCGTCGCGGTTTTGACCGCAGCGCAGGGTCATACGACCGGTCAGCTGTTCATCCGTCCGCTGCCACAGGAATCGATGCGTTTTTTTATTTCTTGATCTTTTTGCTTGCAGGTTGCAAAAAAAAGGATGGAAGGTAAGTCGGAAAGTCTTCTAAGTTTATTATATGTGCATGTATGCTGAAAGAGCTGAGCATCCAATCTAAGCGCGATGTCAGCCAGTTTTTTGAGTTTTTCGTGCATGTCAAAATTTTCAAGACAATGCACTTATGAATAAACTTAAAAGACTTTCTCAACTCACCTTCCATCCTTTTTTTTGCAAACTGCAAGCAAAAAGATAAAGAAATAATCAAAAACTCGCCGATTCATGTGGTAGCGGACGGATGAACAGCTGATCGGCCGTATCGACCCTGCGCTGCGGTCAAAACCGCAACGCGTGAGGACGTCTGAGGCTGCGTGCCCGCTACAACGGGGTGAAAGGACGATAAACAACCTGACATTTGTGTAGTTAAAAGCAGTTCTATTCTGCGCTGAAGAAAATGCGCTGCTTCCAAATACTACTTTTAAGTTGTGCACATGCATTTACGACTCACCATATAGGGGATATAGGCTGCCGGAGGACGCAGAAGGAGAGGGAAAGTGCAGGAACGAAGACACCGATAAATGCAAAGCAAAACACAAGTTTTGTTTACGCACTTCCTCATGCGCAAAAAATCTGTGTATTTGCATTTTCGCAAACAAAACAACCACCAGAAAAAACATGTTACTTTGAGACAGCTCAAAGACGTGAAAAAGCTCTACAAGAACAAGTGCTCTTCAAACAGCTAAAAAGCTTTTTATCTGGTTGGCCAACAAGCTAATGCGGCTTCGACTTTTTTTTCAAAACGAATGCAGTCAAAAAATGCTATTGCGACCTTGTTAGTGAAAGATAGAATTCTTTACATGTACAAAAAACACAGATTCATTTCTATTATAAGTTCAGGAACTCACCCGTCGAGGGTGTGAGCCAGCTCCCACATAAGTGTTAGTGAGACGAACTTCCAAATTTTTGAGTCTATTAAATCGCTCAAAACACCTTGCCAGATCAAGTCATTGACAAAAAATAACTCTTGAGTTAGACTCTGGAAGGCACGGCAGTTGATTTTGAAGTCTGATTTGGCTCGTTTTTTTGCTTACCTGCCAGAATAATTTGGCATTGTGAGTAACATCTCCGCCTCCAGCTTTCTATAAATTTTACTCTACAGTCTGCCCCAATCCTAACCAGGCCAAAATCGGCATGGCGGGAGTCCGCGTCGCGAGGGTTTCGCGCCATGTCTGCGGCTAGCTACTCTGCTCTCTCCTCGATCTCTTCACTCTCTGCGACAGCGCGCGTATGCAGCGCAATCCCCTAGCGCTGCGAGCGCGCAAATTCAGCCAACGGTTCGGCCTGATCCCGATTGGGGCAGACTGTATGTTAGCAGGTTTTGAAAAAAGATCTTACTCACTTGTATAACAAGTTTGATTGCAACAGCGGAGTTAATAATAACTGTTACACCAGTAATCGAAAAAATTGGGTAGAAGAACTTATAATCTTGAAGTTCCAATATACAATTAACAAGATTCCATGAAAACTGGCTGCGATCATAAACAAATTTGCAATCTCCTGAAAAGTTCGAGTACATTAACTAAACAAAACAAGGAAGACTTACGGATAATGTCGTCAGTTTGAGTAGTTGCCCCATAGGACACACCTCCGAAGATGAAAATCTGCAATATTCAAGTGTGAAAAAGCACTAGTTGCCAGGCCCACTTTCCAACCACTCGTATGCAATAGCCCACCAAGGCAAAAAGACCTGCATATAGGCGACGATAAAATGAAGGAAGTAGGGCAGCAATAGCACGATTACACGCGATCCCGAGTTGGAGGACAGGTATAGTGCCGTAAGCGACAGCCACAACTACTCCTAGTTTTTCTTCAGCAAATGAGAGGTAAGCATTGGTATACAGACATTCGCTTAAACAACTATAATGCATTCTTGTCATGGCTAATATCATAAGCTCTCTATTCCAATTATAAAAGGTCGCTAAATTATGAAGTATCTGATTGAAACTATCTGACAAATCTACGACTGTGTACTTTTGTTTTTGTTCAGCTTCTTGTTTTTCTCTTAGAAACATTGTGCTAGAAACTGTTTATCGAAACATTTTTGTTTCTCCGGAGCAAGATACCAACATGATCTGCAGCATTCGCCCTTCTATACCAATCAAAAATCGTAAGGCTTTGTACGAAAATAGTTTAGGACATTTAACAACGAAAAAACTCTAGAAATGTTATTTTGCTGCCCCTGTGTAGGATAAATGGGTGATTAAATTTTTCCAGAACTCGGCAAAAATTTTGTATAAGGGCAATCCTCATCGGACCTAGGCCACACAATGGGCAGTGTTTGTAAACACTTTACTCGAGGTTGTGTGATCGCGACAAAGTTGCGTAGTGCAATCGCGCGGGCTGACCTCCTAGCTATAATAAGCCAAGTAATAGTAGTAAAAGCTCCTATTTATTGATATTAGGTTGTCCCGAAAGTTTTGTCCGTTTTTTCAAAGCACTACAACACACAATAAATGACTGAATGTGTTTCAACATGCATTTGATGCAATTTTTTTCACTTTCCTACGGATATATTTCCGAACCGCAGTCTTGTATGCTTTTTTTGATGACTGCCAAAATTTTCCACCCGTCAGTTTTATCTACTCAAAATTAGGCCAATTTTCAAAAATTTCATTTCAAAGTTTCGGAAAGTGTTAAGTATAGATTAAGTAGAGCAATTCTCGGACTACGAGGCAGTATTTTTAGATTCTCCCAATCTGCTGTTTTTAGCTTCAAAAAATTATTTCTTTGGAGGTCTCGATTTTTGGCAAAGTCATGAAGTACGCAACTGCCACAAATACACGAAAGCTTCTAAAGTTTTGTGAATTAAAACTTTATTGTTGTTAAACATTATTTATGTAACATGGCCAAGTTTGATTTGCTTTGAGCAGTTTTTGCATTTTGGATATTTTTACGTGGTAAACGTAGTCAAAAAGCCGCTGTCTTTATTGAATAAATAATTAGAACGGACTTGGTAAACATGGCGCACGTAATCTTAGATTGATGCAATGTAGCCAAAGGTTTGCTCTATATAAAGGTTATCAGCGCTCTTTGAAAACATCAGGATAAAAATTTTTTAAAATTCGGGAAAGATTTGGCGTTACTGCTGAACTGCTCAAAAAGCTATAGCGATAACATTGCAAAGACAGGGTAGATCACAGAGCAAATGTAGCTGTAAGAAAGAGGATAAAAATCTGAATCAAATGGTATCTAACTCGCCCATGGAGTGGTGTTTTATGAGTTTTAGTGAGCGATGAAACAAACGGACAAAACTTTTGGACAACCTAATATTATATTAGGGTAAATGGCTAAAAATGGGACTTTTAGATAACAACTGTAGAATTTTCATGAAAGAAAAGTGAGTGTACTCTCCAATTTTGAAAGATGTTAGAATATATCATTCTCTTTCAGACAATACTTATGTAAGGTCATTTACATACCAAAAATTTCAATGCTTGCTGAAATGCAAAGTTATATACATCGACAAATTATGAATTTCAAGCAGTATCAGCGCAGTGAAGCCTTTGAGAACATCCAAGATACCACTGCTGCAATGCGATGGGACCTTTTAAGAGGAATTAAGAAGATCCGCATAATTAACCTACCATTTGAAAAAGCTTGAAAACCTCTTTTGAATGATAGTTATTTGTTATATGGCTTTACGGGACAGCGTGCAGGATTGAGAGATTAAAGGCAGCGTCCAGGCAGATCTGGACCTATGGGGCTTTTACGTGGAAAGTACTTTTGGGGCCCTAACTAAGGCATTGCCCAAGCGGCAGCTCAGGTAGTGCTCTAATGGCTGAGATATTCCCCTCGAAACTGGCCCCCGCGAACGTATTCGCATGGATTCATGGCAGTTTCGCGCCAGGATCCACGCTTTGCGCCATGAATCCATGCGGAACACGGTCGCGGGGTCCAGTTTCGAGCGGAATATCTCAGCCATTACAGCACTACCTGAGCTGCCGCTTGGGCAATGTCTTAGTTAGGGCCCCAAAAGTACTTTCCACGTAAGAGCTCCATACGTCCAGATGTGCCTGGACGCTGCCTTTAAAAAACCAATCGAGTTCTTTACGGCGCCACGCCGAGATTTATGATAGAGATGCGGAAACCGTTGCCAGAATAATAGGCGTGATTCGCTTATGTAAGCGACCTTTAAGTTGCAGCCTGATTGATGGTGACCAAACGAAAATCTCAAAATGTAATAAAAATCATGATGTCTCATTTTTTTCCGTTCAGCCTAATAATAAGACAGACATCCAAAGCAGTAAGAACTTTGGATTTGCAAAAGATTTCTGTGGCGAAATGCTAAGTCGCACAAGTATCGTTTTGGTTGCAAACGCGATTCGCCCTAACATAGCACTGAAGTGGATTATAACTTTTTTTAAGTTGCAGACTTTTACGGATTGACAATCTTTAGGCAGAATCTTCTCTTAGTTGCCAAGTACTAAAGCACGATTGAATATGTTTGGTGTCAACTTTGTCTCACCCTTGCAAAGATCATTTTTGATATGAAATCAAAATGACCAAATATTAAACTCTAGAAAATGTGTATCAACTTTAAAGCAATCCAGTCTTCCATGATCACGTCGATACTCACAAAGTTGTCACTGGGCCAGTATACAGAACAAACATGAGTAGATTGACGATATTGCACAGGCCTCTTGCTATACAAAGATAGCCGAACGCATTGTGGTATCTTTTCAGTAAAATGAACGTTACCACATTGTTTATATTGATAATGGTACCAAGTAATCCAACCTGCAATACTTTTGAGAGAGCAAAGAAATTAAGGCAACTTGAAAGACTTACAAAAAATAACCAAGCCCCAATACAAATGTAAGCGAGGTCTGAATCCAGGAGGGCTGCGCACCGACTCGTCCTCTCCATGTTTAAGGGAGATGTTGAAGTTTTTCAAATATCTGACATAAAAATATATCGCACATAAACTAATTTTGGTTACTACGAGCAGCTATTAGAACCAGCTATCTATCGATACAAAGGTACAAGATTTACATTTCCATCTAATTTCTGGAGTCAATGAGACTTCAAGTTAAGAAGGAATTGATAGCCGCAAAAAATAGCGCTATATTTTAGTGCTTTGAATTTGAGTTTCTTCTCGTTTAGCAATACCCAAGTGTCCTACTATACTCTAGCATTTGTTGGAACAAGTACCAGGGACAATCTCGAAGAAAGCCGCAAATAAAGTCTATTGAAACTTCATAATTCTATTTTTTGCAGACGACACTCCGCACTATTGCATGCCAGTCTCAAATCTGCCTTATTTGATAAATCAGCAGAAAATATTAAGTTGACCGGAAAGTAATGTCGCATCATGTGTAATCATGCGAAATCGAGGCAGTATGAGCACGAAAAAAAGTAAGTGGAGTACCAACCAATAGACCGAAGCAAGCTTTACAAAATGAAACTCAAATATTTGCGCAGGTTTCGTTTGCGTCAAGTTTGTAGCCAAATTTCAAAAGGCATCAAAGGCCTAAATAATCGTAAAAAACCTATCTTTTTCCAGAAAAATCTAGGAACACCCAACTTGCTACACATACACGCTCTCCACATTAGAGACTCGTACGCACAGTTTCTTGGTTTTCCCACGACTAGAAATTGAAACGAAATTAGGCATATGATTGCCAAAGCAATCCTAAGCTTCTCACAGATAGGTCTCTGCAGTGCCTAGTTTTCGAAAAAATAAAATTTTTCGCAAAAATCCCAAACGCGGCATTCGCACTTTCGACCTATTTTTATTTCTAGTGTTTTAATCATAGAGAAATTTCAGCAACTATACACAGGAATATCTAACGTAGCAAGTACGGGTCTGTGCAAATTGGAGATAGCTAAAACATTTGTGGACGGAGATACGTTTTTCAGGTGTCTGAAATTTTTCATATTTTGGATTCAAATTTCAGGTGAAACGAAGTTTCCGCGGTGTTTTGTACTTTAGTTGTAGAGATGGCTTTGCTGTAATGATACTCTATTAACTGTTTTTCATCATCACTCTGTTGCGGTAGAATTCAATGCGACATTTGTTCTCGGTTAACCTAATAGAAAGTTTGTTTGCGGAAAATAGTATGCACGTCAAATATCTGACAATAATGCTCGCTTTACTTTTTTTCATAAAGAGAGGGAAGCATAATAAAGACTCCCTTGATAAGGATCCTTCAAAAAGGGTGGTATGCCTGTGTCTAGTTTGAGCAGTGGTGCAGAGGAGGATAAGTGTAATAAAGAGACGTAGCTGAACATGCGGATTATGAAAGCAAGCATTACTTTGCATTTTTTCTGCACTTATTTATCTATTTATTCATAATACACAAAAGTGTGCCAAAATTAGAAACTTATCTTTGGAAAAAACCTAAAAATAATCAGGGGAACGAAATCTCGAGGATTATGGCAAGCGTTTGAATGATGACAATGTTCCTTTTCAAATCACTATTGGACTTTCCGGATGATAGAGCCCAAAACCGTTAGACCTACTCAGACAGCGAATAGGACCCCTCCGCCGGAGAAATGGCAGGGCCGCGGGGTTTCCCCAGCGGTGGGTCTGCCACTCGTCCGCCGGAGCCCTCCCATTTCTGCTCCGGAGACCTCCCATTTCTGCTCCGGATACCTCCCATTTGTGCTCCGGACCCCTCCGATTTTCTGCGGCGCGGCTCTTCCAAATCTGACGGACTCGCGCCGGGCAAATTTCTCTGGCGCGGCTCTGCCAAATCTGGCGTACCTCCGGAGCAGAAATGGCGTACCTTTGCAGCAGGGCCGGAGAAGCGTCCCACTTGCCTGCCAGTGATGTCACCGAGACCTACAAGAAGGGGCCGCCCATTTGCCCCGCTCTCATTGGTCAACTGGGTCCGGCGCGACTCTGG